ATGTACTTTTTCCAAGTAATAAAAATCCCAAGTGTATGACTTGCCTATATGTATTTTTAGTAGTTAACTAATGTGCCCAATACAAACAAAATGTATTGAATATTTAAAACGAGTTTTTTGGTCGCAGATTGAACTAACATCTTGCTCTGTAGATTGATAAATGTTTTTGGTTGTTTTTTTTCTTGAAAATTATCATATCTGTATTGTTAGGAGATGCATAAAAGTAAAAGCATTCAGAGTAATTAATTTTGAAACTAAAATGGTCAAAATTAAAGTTGCTATAGAAATGCAAAGTGATTCATATATTCATCTATCCCGCCTTTAAAATTATTTGTACTAGCATTTAACAGAAGTATTTGGATCAGCAACACTGGGGAAAGAATTATGTTCTGATATGTGCTTGGGGAAGAAGGGGTAGTGGACGAAAGGGGGTGAAATCAGAAATGGTGCAGAAGCTGCATCTCACCTGCATGGTGACGTTAATGAAATCTATGGTGGCAGCTGAAGAGCAAAAGCTTTGAAAAGACTTTGGCTGCTCCATGAACAGATGAGTGAAACAACTGCCAGAAGCTCAGGGACAGATTTTTTTTTGCAGGAAAAGAGCTGGCATTGATTTTTCAGCTTCGGGAATGTTAGAGTTGGCAGGTTGGGTGCACATCCAAAGTGGGAGAGGATGATCAATGTTAAGGGAATCTGCAGCTTCAGCTACTACAAAAACAAGGACTTCTGTTGGTTGGATTCAGAGGCTCTTTGCTAAGCAAGAAGCATCCTTATTCTATCATCATATGCTTTTTTTATTTTTTAATCCTCAGTTATTTCTAAGCTGCTTTTCCTTAAGAGGGAAAAATGTCTCATTTTTCACACAGCCTTTCATTTGCTGGAGCTTGTGATGTTACACCAATACCCCATTGCCCATTTCCACAATGGGCCAGGCAGGTATTATTGCCCTGTCTGTCCACTACGTGCTCCTCTTGTGCAGTTTATAGGTAACCTAGCAAACTGGCTTTAATATCAAGTTGATTTCCTTACGAAGTCAAATTGTCAAACTGAGCTTCAGCAGTGAGCACAGCGTGCTCTGAGTGTTTCAAACTTGCAAACTGCCAAGTTGAATACAAGAGCAGCATGTGCTCTACATGGTCTGTCAGTTGCCATGAACCTTTGACTGAGCTTGAAGGTATGGGACGTGCTTTATGACTCTTTTTTCCATTGGCAGCATTTTCAGGATGTGCAAAATTAAGTGACCCAGACTATAACAGCATGGGACTTGCCTAAACTAAGGTGTAGAAACTTGTTTGAGAAGTACATTGTGAAAGGTGAGTAAGCACATTCAGAATTCCTATACTAACAGTTTGACTTTTCTTTTAAAGATAAAACAATCAAGTTATGGAAGATTACTGAAAGAGATAAGAGACCAGAGGGGTACAACTTAAAAGATGAAGAAGGAAAGCTTAAAGATCTTTCTACAGTAACATCACTGCAGGTAAGCTGCTGTCTTTGTCCAAAATCTGGTTGTTTCTGTATGAAGGTAGTCATACATGGTAACTCAGTAAAAGATTTAAATATGTACCAAATGGAAAGCACATATATGATTATTCTCATTCCATTTTTAGCTGACTGATAATGGACTTCAATCTGCCACACATTTTCAAGTCACAACTGCTTTACCAATACAAAGGTTTTTAGAGAGTTTATGTCAGTCTTATTCTTCCTAATAAATTCTCTCAGCATGACTGATGTGCTTTCCCACAGGCTTCTTTAGCCTGGTGTGCTGAAATTATTTGACTTGTAATTAACATTAAACAGTGGGATTTGCAGTAGCCTGTGCTACTGTCAACATGAGGTTCTGCATTGCTGAGCAGATGCAGTCATGGAACTTATATAATTGTGTATGATAACAGAATTCATTTTTGCTCTCAGACATTAATGGCTGAATTAACTTCAGGTGTTTCAGCAGAGGAGTTGGCTAGAGGGTAGAACTGGAAGGCTGTGCTAGCATTTTTTTATTACTAAAAACAAGCAAACAACCTCCACCACAAGTAAATAATTTCTATTGTGAAAAAAGCCTCCGAAGTGTAAAGATGACTACATTAATGGAATATTTATTTTGCCTATTTTAAGGCAAACAAAATCATTCCAGATTGCTTATAGTGTGAGAATTCAAAGGCTGAGCAAACCATTGTTTTGTTCCTTTTTTATATTTTGCTGAGATAGTGAAAGACATCAAGTAGCAAAAGAAATTGTGATTTACAATTGACAACAAACTCTTTAGTAACAGCAAAATACTAGGGCCAGAGACTCCTGCATATGGGGGACAGTAACTCCTACTGTGGGACTGGCCTGTTCTCTGGCAGCTGCCAGTGCCTCATTTTCCACAGTATAGGCTTTCCAGTGCCTCCCTTCATCACTCTACCTGGCTTGCCATGGCTCTTTTCCTCCTTGGCAGTGATAGCCTTGCTCAGCAGTGCATCCATGGAGAAATTCAGCTTGCATACACTGTTGGGAAGTTTTATGATGTCAGTATTTAAATGCTTGCTCTCCATTGAAACTCTCGGCACCCTAGCAAAAAGATACTTAAAATCTTGCTCCCTTTCTGATTTATGTTTTCCTTTTTTGGCAGGTGCCTGTTTTGAAACCTATGGATTTGATGGTAGAAGTCACTCCCCGGAGAATCTTTGCTAATGGTCACACCTATCATGTCAACTCAATATCTGTCAACAGTGACTGTGAGACATACATGTCAGCGGATGATCTCAGGATTAACCTCTGGCATTTAGCAATCACAGATAGGAGCTTCAGTATCCTTTATTGTGGTTCCTTGCTCTCTGTTAGTATTAGTGGGGCTTAAGAGAGCTGTTTTAAAATATTTTTTCTGCAGATTTAAAAATATATCATTGCTTATCAGAATCTCAATTTGTAGCAGAAAATGCTTAAATGTCGTGACAGCTAAGAGGTTGCAAAAGTCAGTGTTTTACGTGGAAAATAACCATCTTGGGTTTGGTTAATGACAAGCAAATAGGAAATGGATGCCAGCTGAATGGTAACTATCCACCTGACTAGAATACTCTCTAATGTTATTTCCTGAAGACATTTCACACATCAGCTAGTCCACCTTGTTTTGCTGAAAGGTCAGTCCTTACACTGACCATGCCCCCTGCTCTCCATTATCCTGCTTCCCAGAATCCTAATGCCTGAGATTTATACAGTTTAGGAATAAAGCTCAGCTGCTTTGTGGGAGATGCTGTGCCCGTGATTACTGCAGTCATTGCTATATCAAGTTCTTGCATCACCCTGAAAGCTGTGTTGTGGGATCATTCCACTAATATATGAGTCTGCCCCTTGCACTGCAACCGGGTGGCTTGGGGAGGAGCAAAAGAAAATCTAGCCAAGAAAAGTGGTTCTCTGTGTTTTGCAGAACATAAAAGGACCAGTAAGAAGAGAAATAGGTAAAGGGACAGCTCAGAATGTTGTCTTCCTTTGGTGATTTCTTTTTAAGTATTCCATAAGGAGCTAGAATAATATTTCTCTGGATTTCTATGAGAGACTACTAGAGATGTTCCTTCTGTTCTCCAGATTGAACAACCCAAATTCTCTCAGCCTTATTGATAATATGTCTACATGGAGAAGCAATGTGTCTCTTGCCAGTGTCCTCCTCACTCCAGTCTCTGTCTTGGACACTTTTGTATGTGATTACTATGTGTTCTTCTCTACTGTGGTTCCTCCTCTTCCTTGAAAAGCAGAACAGTGAGTCAGACAAGTACAGGAGTCTTTGTATGTCGACACAGGATACCCAGACCACGTTCCTGAATACTTACTTTGCTTTTGGCAGTCTCTTTTATCATGTTAAAAGCTCTTTTATCAACTCTTGCATACCAAGAGTAATGTCTACTATTTTGTGGGCAAGAAAATTGAGACAGAAAATTTACAGAAATTAAGAAAACCAGAAATTTCATATCCCTGATTAACATTTCATTTGCCCTTTGTATGAAAACACTTGTATGCAGGCTTCAGAAGCACTTTGCCTCCACTGATGTTTCAAATTCCAGCAATATACTAGGAAAGACCTGAAAAGCTACTACTACCATGTGTCTCAGTGCAACAGCATAGGTAGCAAAGTACTTTGAGTTTGAATACTTGTTTAGGATGTTAGTGCTTTTACTCCTGCATATGTCAACTGCTATATTTGGTGACAGCTTCATGAAGTGTGTTTTGAGCATCAGCATACTCCTGTCATCAAATATTTACTGATAAAAAGTGTTTTTGAGTTTCTGGCTGAATCGTTAATTTAACTCTTAGAATGTGGTATTGTTTGTAGTAGCATGCTCAATTTCTGATAAAATCCTAAGAGTGATAATGTGGGGGAAATTGTGTTTCTAAATTTTAGGATAGGAAAGTTTTCCTTTATCTGAGACAGTGGCTTTGAGTTACTTAGGTAAATGACTTTGGGATAACTGGTTTCTATCCTGGACAGGATACAGATGTTACTGCTGCTTTTAGATACACGAGTGAACATATGGGAGGACTATGATGAGGGAATTTAGGCAGTAATAGGAGAGAAAACCCAGGTAAAGGGATGATCAATGCTAGAGGCAAACCATTTGTGCGAAGCTGACCATGGTGGCAGCAGATTGACTTTTGTGTCTGGACACCACTATGTATTCAAGAGAGTAGGTGGAGTTAAACAGGCTGTATCCACTTCTGTTTCAGACAGTGTAAGTTGTATCTGTACTCAGTTGTCCAAACCAGATCATCAGGCAGATTGCTTTTCATTAATTCTCTGATAAACAAAGAAGATGGGATAGGTGTTCCAAAACATGGTGAGATAGATAGAGAATTTTGTTCATATATTAACTGGGAGACCATGATAACTGGAAGAAAGGCATGAGTAATTTAAAACTTGCATCAGTATTTCCAAAGCTATCTTTTTGTCCATATAGAGCTCTTTAAGTCCTTGTAAAATTTCAGGGGCACATTTTCCACTAGAATTCAACATCTGCCTCATAAAGAAATTACATTTCTGTACTACAGAAAACTCAGTTACACTAAACTCTCACGGAAGTAGATAATCTTCTGGTAAATGAATGTTGCTGGGCTTGGTGCCTTCTGCAAAACACTTATGGGAACAGGCAGGAGGAAGCTCAAGCAGTTCTAAAAGTACTTGCTTCACATCTTTTTACCAGAGGCAAAATTATATGAAGCATCTTGATGTTTTATGTACAAGACTTGATTCCTTGAAATACATGTTTAAAACAATAAATAGAAAACATTTTTAAGTGGCATTTGTTAATAAGGGATCTGACTGGCAGCAATGTGTATTTGTCCTTCTACTTTCCCTCAGAGCCAGCACTGCTATATATTATGAACTACAATCTGTTGACCCAAGAGGCTGGTTGTGACAATGACATAAACAACAAATATAGTAGTAGAGTTTCTGGACATTCAGCTTGTGTTTGAATATCTTTAAAAATTGCATGGGAAATGATGGAGAAAGGATGGATTAGTCATGGTATGCTAGGGTCTTTGTCAAGTAAAGTACTTTGTCTTGTAGAGTTTTATTTGAGAACTGTTGGGTTATAACCATTATTTTAGCAGTTTTACAAATCACAGAATCATAGAATCATAGAACTATTCAAGTTGTAAAAGACCCTTGGGATCACCAAGTCCAACCATCATCCCTACTCTACAAAGCTCTCCCCTAGACCATATCCAACAACACCACATCCAAACGACCCTTAAACACACCTAGGGATGGTGACTCAACCACCTTCCTGGGCAGCCTATTCCAGTCTCTAACCACTCTCTCTGTGAAAAAATGTTTCCTAATGTCCAGTCTAAACCTGCCCTGTTGCAGCTTGAAGCCATTCCCTCTTGTGCTGTCACTAATTACCTGTGAGAAGAGACCAGCACCAACCAACAGTGACCTTTCAGGTAGTTGTAGAGACTGATGAGGTCTCCCCTCAGCCACCTCTTCCTCAGCCTAAATATTCCTAGCTCCTTCAAGCGTTCTTCATAAGATGGATTCTCTAGGCCCATCACCAGCTCCATTGCTCTCCTCTGTACTCACTCCAGCACCTTGATATCTCTCTTGAATTGAGGTGCCCAAAACTGGACGCAACACTCCAGGTGTGGCCTCACCAGTGCTGAGTACAGGGGGACAATCACCTCTCTCCTCCCTTCTGCCTTTCTTATAGATGGGTGTTACATCCCTGACAATTGTTCATTTATTTGAAAATGAGAAGACAAAGCAGTGCAGATCTTCAGTAAATCCTCTTTCTGTCTCCTTTGGAAAGTATTTTAAATTATGTTTGCAGAATTTGATGAGATTATTTGCCTTAGGTAAAAGGCAAATGAAATACCATTAATGGTTTTCTGGTTTGCTTTTTTATTAGCAAAACCACTAACTGGGGTAAAAAGCAAATAAGTGAGTTTTATGCTATGGCTGTGTAAGTTTTCATGAGAAATATGCAAGATTTCTGTGCATTGCCTCCTACTTACAAGCAGATTTGCTCAGTATCATTTGGGCAGGAAGAGGCAAGGGAGAGGAGGAGGTGAGAGAAAGGAAGGGGGAAGGTCGGCTGGGAAATAATTGCACATATGAGGCTTTTCTTCACTAAAAAGTTTAATGTGTTTGGGTGTGTTATGAAGAATGAGTGTCAATGTCCTTAACTATGGATGATATTCTTCACTGGAAAATAAGTGAGGTAAAGTTTGCTGTATTTGTTAATGTTTGGTGTGAAATGGCTTAGCCGTGTTGCCCATATCTTAAGCCTTTAGATAAGTCATCTTGAGTGTAGGGCTGCAAGCATGCTGGCAAGGCTGACTTCACACCAGCAGCAATCTTTGGACTATCTAGCTATACTAAATATTCTTTATGAGAATATATTTGGATTGCTAACAGAAATATGTAGCTCACAGCACTTGAACTCCCTTCATTTCCTGGTAGCACATGTACTGTTTCACTCTAGAGGCTGTCATGGCATTGCTATGGAAACAACATCACTGTTTCCAGCATGTACTCATCTTGAGACTCATCTTGACTAAAATACTCATTTCTCAATCAGATCAATATAGTCCAGGGTTATCCTGTTTTAATAAAAAATTCTTTCTTCTGTGTCCCAGAAGGGTTAAACTAATTAGCAAATCACCATAGGGCCTTCTTATAGTCTAATGTATTCCAGTATTTGAAGCATATCATGGGTAGTCAGATCATTAGGCACCATGTCTTGGGGAAAATAATTTACTTAAGAAGTAAACAACAACAAAAAAGAAAAGAAATATAACCCCCAAAATAACATGGTACATTGATAGAGACCAAGTCTGTGGCAGCCCATTTTGCATCTGTATATAATGTGTAGATAGGTCATGTGCAGTGCTTTGAGAGCAGCCCCCAGGCTGGGGAAGATCACTAGCTTTACAGAATTCCTGTTACCTGCCTCAGTGCTAAGCATTTGAATGCTCAACTGAAAGCAAATCTGCAGTATTCTCTTGGTGTTTGTGGAACTGTCAGCTGGCAGGTTTATGCCCTTGAGTGAGATCAGGTTGTTTCTATAAAAATTGGTCAGCCAGGATGACTGTGCACAAACTGTATGCACAAGGATGCATTTTTGGAGCTCTTGGAAAAATGTCATTATTGTGTGAGAACCTGCTGCCACCCCCACCTACAGCACAGTTTTCCTCAAGCATACACTTGGGGAGATGGCAGGCATTATTTCTCTTTTTTTGAGAGCTCTGTGTATTACATTTTGGCACTTCCTATCCTATCAGGAAAGATTCTGCCAAACTGTTATCACGTATTTAA